CAGACTTGTCATATATTGAACATTTAACACCCTGACTAAAAAAGCTGTCAGAAAGCGAACGCTAAAGACCGCACTTCTATAACCTGATACACACAAAACTAGCTTCAGCTGTTGACGTAATGATGGCGCGGGCAAAGATAATTTACAAATTCAGTGCGTTTTGATAATCGAAATATACGAGTGAATTTCCTTTCTTTTTCTCGCCGTGTTTGTTAAGAGAAATAGAAAATATTTTCTCCATGTTTCGGTAGAAACACGGAAACACTTGTAAAAGTTTGGGGGCACTCGAAAAAGCTGTGGAAACACTCCCCTGCGGATGGTGTTCCCACAGCATTTTTCGTTATTCCAAAGGTCCACTCATGTTTTAAAAGTGCATAGAAACACGGAAAATAATTTTGTTTCCAAATTTAATCAAAGTGATATTAACTTTTCTTTGTTTACAGGACGAATTTAACAAGACGACATTTTTCAATTATTACCGCACTGTCACTGAGTTTAAGAAGCCATTTGAGTCGGCGGACTCGCCCGTTCGAAAGGCTGGCCTTTCACTTGTCTCCATAGAAACCAAAGTGGTACCCTGTCCTTACAGGGAAAAATGGCTGAAGAATGGTGGCGATCCTGAAGTACATGCCCGTTGGTTTATACCAACGACGAGGACTTGGAGCAATGCAACATTTCTTTCTGGTAAGATCAGAATCTTGCTATAGAATCGTATTAAGTTACGAAGGAGGAAGGAAAAGGCACGTGTTTAGATGTCCATTTTACTGTCACAAGGGCGTTTTGGTTTGTTGCCGAGACATTAGAATTGCGCGAGCTTTTCCTCCGCTAAAGGTATCTAGAATTCTTTGACATAGTTGTTGATGTTCGACAGTCTGAGTGCACCCATGCAGTTATAGACCTGCCGAAAGTTTACCCTATCCAGGAGAAATATAAAGCAACTGCCAAGGAAACTAAGAAAGCCAGCTCGAAGTTATGTTTTCTTAAATTCGACAGAATCTCGCCGAACTTTGATCTTCCTTCCTTTACGGTATCTAAGTATTCCTTCCGTGCCTGTTTATGCAATTAAGTTTTGTTCCATTTTTTTATCATTTTCATAAGCTTATATTTGCGCGACTAAAGCTCACAATGGTTGATCGTTTGGTCTGACCGTTCTGGAGTTTTTTTTTCGGACTAGGCTTATATTAATAAATTAAGGAGCATCGATGATGTGGAAGAAATTTCGTATTGCAAGTAACGTGACCTCTATTATATCACGAGTGAATATGAAAAAAGTTACTTGGTAAACCGAAACAGCTAAGAATCAGTTCAGCTAAGTTCATTTGTGTCCAAGCATTAATCTAGTTTTTACAGTTTTTATTTATCTCATTTTTGTTATACGGTTAATCTTATGCCCAGTACACACTACGCTGGAGGAATTTGAAAACGGAGGTTTCACTCTGAAAACGCATCAAATGTTTTCCGTCCACACTAGGCCGGAGGTATTTGAAAATGGAAATTTCACTCTGAAAACGCATCAAATGTTTTCCGTCCACACTACGCTGGATTTACTGTTGAGGAAACCTCGGGCAGGGAAATCACCTTATTTTCGTGATGTCATCGTTTTCGAAAAGCTCCGTTTTCAAAATGTTTTCCGTCCACACTAAACCGTTTGAAGAGCGTTTTCGAAAAGCTCCATTTTTGTGACGGACTAATGTGGATGGTAGGCCTAACGTACCGTAGAAAGAAAACTGCATTTTCAAATTCCTTTTCGACTTAGTGTGGACGGGGCCCTAAACGCTGTGACGATAACCTGCAATTAAAAGGCTGGAGAGTTACTCTCGATGAGCTTGCATCTCAACCATAACCAATATTTCTTGCTGCACCTTCGGCTCGCCGATGAGCCACTTGCCTTCAACAATCCCTAGCACTGGAATAACTTTGCCTTACACGTGCAACACTGTACACCGAATTATGGAAGTGCAGTGGCCTCATGGTTAGTGCAATCGATTCCGGGTCGAGCGATCCGGGTTCGAGCCCTGGCCGGGGACATTGTGTTGAGTTCTTAGGGAAAACACTTAACTCTCACAGTGCCTTTCTCCACTCAGGTGTATAAATGGGTAACGGCGAATTTAATGCTGGGGGTGACCCTTCAATGGACTAGCATCTCATCCATATTCCTAGTCGCTTCATGCTACAGAAACCGGCATAAACTTCGGCCTGATGACACTTTCGTGACTGGCTTTTATGGTTTATCTTTAGGTCTTTCCGAGCATCGCTCTCCTGATGAGAAGGCAGACATTGTCGACGAATTCTTCAAACGTTATGAAAACCAGGTGGTTAAGCACCCGGAGGATCATGGGATGGATTATGTCCATGCCTTCTTGGTTATTGCAAAGAGTTAACTAGTCACATGAAGCTTTATTTATCCGTTTACAGGTTCTTATGCATATTAACAGAAGATTTATCGTCGAAGCTACGGTAGTAATAGGTTAACCGATGCACTTGCCTCCGTCATCTTGTTTTTCATTTTTGTTGTTTGTAGTCATCATAAACACCCTAGTCACCTAGGAAGAGAATTAAATATGGACATTGCCTCAGTCATTTTTTTTTTTTAATGGAAATTGCCTCGGTCATAATTTTTGTCTGGCTACGGCCCTGAAATTTCATTGTTTTAAGATTAGATTACCTTCGTCCCTGTTTAACAGTGAAAAACAAAAGAAACAAACAAACTTAATATCGATGTCGTGTAAGTTTAAAAAATGAAGAAGACAAAGCAAATTATGGAATCCAGGAAATAAAAATAAAATAAAATAAATCACTTTTCATGTTTAGCAATATTGTACTAATTAGAGACACTGAAAAAAAGTTTGTAAATTGAGCAGAAACTTGTTCAAAATCCCAAGTGTGACCCATTTTTACAAGTGTGACCCATTTTTACAAGTGTGACCCTTTCTTCCAAGTGTGACACATTTTTCCAAGTGTGACTTTTTTTCCAAGTGTGACCAGTTTTTCCAAGTGTGACCCATTTTTCCAAGTGTGACCATCTTTTTGAACTGTGACCCAATTTTCTATGTATGACCCTTTTTTCCAGGTATGATTAATTTTTCCAAATGTGACCCATTTTTCTAAGTGTGATCCATTTTCCAGTTGTGACACGTTTTTTTCTGTTTGGCAATTTTTCTCACAAAAAGCCGCGTACCACTTAGCCTGCGAAATTAGAAGTATTTTCGTCTTTTGCTTGTCTCCGCCGACAAATATCTCGAGCTTCGATCGCTTCAAATTTTGTATTTTAATGGCATCTGGGATCTTTCCTTTTTTAATGCTTTTTAAACTATTCCGAACGGAGTAACAAAAATAACTGTCTTTCTCGAAGATTGAAACCGCGATGACACGAACCCGCCATTTGTGTCAGACTGATCAAAAATATAAACTTCTGCGATGTCAGCTTTGAAAAACGGAAAGGAATCACTTTCGATGAACTCTCGTGGTTTATGAAACCATTCACTCGACACGGCGAGTCAAATTTGGCTCGGATCGAGCGGCGGTTCGCGAATTTGATCGATAAAGGCGAACAGAACATGGATTAGCCGCCATGCTCAAGTTCCCGCCACCCGTTCTTTGATCGAATTACGCTTGATGCATACACAGCAAAGCCTCCGGTTGTAATATTAATTATCTAAACTTTTTTAACCAGGCCATATATGGTTGGTGATCTGGTTTACCGCATTAAATTATTCTGTTAAATGCTAAACGGCTCATGCACCACAAACACCCACAAATTGTGCAGCAATGGCAGATTTGTAATCTGATTAGCACAAGCACCATGACGTCAGCGGAAATTAGAACCCTTGACCTGCTTTGTATTTCAGAGTCTCTTGAATCTCGTCATGTTATGCCAATTGACACCTGTCAAAACAAGGTATCCACTACCCAGTATCACGTGACCATATCGCGGGCTCAAGTTTAGAGCTCAGCGAAATCACGTGTTTTTTTTAAAGTTGACCGCTGATCAAGTGCTGGTTTTCGGTTGGATCGCGGGTTCATGACAGATTAACTTGTTGTAAATAGGAGTAGTTGTTCGGAAGCCGGTTAGAGCTAACCCAGGATTAAAAGTTAACCCGAGTATAAAGTTTTCTTCTATGCAAATGTTTTTCACTGTCTCTGTTTTCGGTTGTTTGGGATTATTCAAACTCAAAACAGAAGGCCAAACAATATACAGAAATCAAAATTCTCGCGTATCCTGAGTTAGTTTAATACAGCTTTGAACAACCTGGCCCAGGAGCTCCGCTTTTAGGCTTGGTTAGATCTACATATTATCGGATTCACGAGCAGTTTAAATAACATGGTTTTAATGATATGTTTTCAAGGTGGTAAACAAATCAGAAGAGATGAATGAGTGTAGTTTAAAAATTTCGACACCTACATAGTTGTGCGGTTTTCGCGTCGGTGGATAGTAAAACGTTACGCAAACAAAATCTCAGCGAAAGTGGTTTACTACGCGACTTTTCAGAAACTTCGCAACGCATTCATCTTCATTAAAAATGATATCAATGAGTCTAACAACATTCTAGTCACATATCAATAACTTTGTGCAAGCAGATTAACGCACAGAAGGGAAACAAATAGACAAAAAAATACGCGACTTTTCACAAACTTCGCAACGCATTCATCTTCATTCAAAATGATATCAGTGAGTCTAACAACATTTTAGTTACATATCAATAACTTTGTGCACGCAGATTAACGCACTGAAGGGAAACAAACAGACAAAAAAAAAAGGAACAAAATAAAGAATACGAAAACAAAGGAAAAAACAACGACAACAGCAAGAAACAGTATTACATGCAGTCATGTCTATTTTTAAAAGAAATAGCTTTGCGTTGTATGTCAGCGTTCTTTAATCAAACAGGCCACCTAATAATAGCAAGATTCTGCGTCAATCTTTTGTCTTCANCAAAGAATAAAACTTTAAAATGCACTGAAAACCTTTTTTGCCTGTGAGAAAATTAAAGTAATTCTAAGATTGCACAACACACAAATCAATCTGGCATGACACTGACATTAGTCACTCCACCAATGTGGACAAGGCTGCTGATTACCACAAGAGACTTTCTCACTAGACCCGCAAGTGTTCCCAGAATGATTGGTCCTGGACTGCCAACAAACATATTTTATACGTCAGTCGCATGATAAGTTATGTCGCACAGAGTGCGGCAATACCCTCAGAGGGGTGGCTCTTGTAGAAGGCTGGCGGTGCAATGGATAGTGTGTTACACTCTAGATCTAGAGACCTTGGACAGGGTATGTGCTGTGACATTGTCCTAATGTTATGTTCTTGGGAGACTCTAAAAGAGCCTCTTTCTGTCATCAGTAGCATATGTCAAGACAAGGGTAGGGGAAATCTGGAATGGGCCTGTACCCTTTTTCTCACACCACCCCCCTCCCCCCCCCTGCCAGGAGTAGTAATGCTTCTTGCTACTTCATGTGGTGCTATTCTTAAGAGCCCCTTGGCAAGAATAAGATACATTGACAGACTCACTGTACCTTCCTCAGTATAAACTTCCAAAAAATCTCCAGCAGCCATTGAAAAATTCAAATCGGGTGGTACATCCGTTGGATCAACATCTGGGATTACAACTGATCTTACTTGATCTTCAGACTTTCTGTTATTACATGTCTGGTGTATATATGGGTAGATTGTGGTGTGATATTTTCCTGGTGCTCTGACAGAAAAACAAACAAACAAACAAACAAAAAAACAGACAAAAAGAAACAGTATAAGACACAAAGCAGAAAGTCAAGAGGAGAAGAGTCACTTAGAACTAAAACAGAACAAAATTACTTTTATTAACGTCTGTGTAGCTTAATAACTTGGCACCGATCAAATGTTTGAATAATCTTTCTTCCTCTTGTTAAAACACGTTGTATTCTGATACACCATCAGTGACACCCAAAAACAACCTGAATTTGCTTACAATGAATGGTGAGAAAGAGCTGAACAAATAGAAATGGTTTGGTAAACTGAGATATGTAGAAATACAGAGATATTATAAAAAAGAACCGGTTCTAACCCACATGTACATGGAGCTTGCAATAACTAAACTATCAGAAAAAAACTCAGACACCTGTTCAAAATGAAGTGTGAGGCAAAAAGCATATACAAACTCCACTCATTTCCTTGACATTTATATCCTGAAAAAAAAATTCAATGGTTAGGTTACCAAATTAATTTAGTGTGTTATCAGTACAGTTACATGAACCATACATATTGCTAGGGTTATCTGTAACTGCATGATACATTTACATGTGAAAATGTTTGTGAGTGGCATAGGTTTGAGTTATTGCAAAATCTATCATGACTGCTTGCATCAGGAAATTTTCAAAGCAAAAATTAAGCTAAAGTTTGTATCAACTCTTTTCAGAGAATGATACCATGAAGCAAGCTCACTCTGTTCTTGTCTGCTGCATTCCCTGTCATGTGATTTGTCTTTTCTTTCTAAAACCTTATCTTCTTGCTCCCTTGGTCATAATTGCTTCATCTCCACCATGATCATATATCATATTAAAAGAAACATAATGGCCAACACTTCAAATTCCATCTTACCAAGTTTTGCGATATCAAACATCAGTCTAGCTAAGCCTGCCCCCGGTACAAGGATTGAAACATCTTTTTTGGAACTGCAATGTAAGTGTTCCATTAGCTGTTAGTAGTGTAAATGACAAGGATTATTCTGCTGTTAACATTATTCATTTCAAAAGTGTCTTATTAATTTTTCAATGTCCCTTTTCTCTCATATTTTTCTTGGGGCATGACACTGAGTCAGAACTAAAGAGAAGTGGTACCACCTGGGCCAAAGCAGAAAGGACAGAGCCCAGAGTCAAGTGAGATGGAGGAGAGTCGTTGATGGCCTGTGTTCTACTTGGAGTGAAGGGCCTAAGTTTCTCATATTTTTCTGCTAATCAAGTGCTATATAAATTTTTAATATTATATTATTTATTAATAGTATTAAAATTATCATTAATATCATTATTATCCTTTTGCCTCTTTTCGTAGTCAATATCATCATCATCATCATCATCACCATCATTATTACTATTATAATTGTTCCTCTTGTTGTTGTTGTTGTTATTGTTATTTTTATTTATTAAAGTGCAATTTTGAGTTTTTCTTCCTCGGGATTTATTTTATATTTTGCACATTTTATACATGTGTATCTGCTGGTACAAAGAGATCAGACAGGTTTCCTTCGTTGAAATGTAAACCTTTAAGTTGCTCACAACGCGCAAAAATGTGTAGTTCTCTAACCAATCTGTGCCTGGAAAAAGTCTTTCAATCTCTTCAATAATTGGTTTGTAGCAAGCATCCCTTTCAGCTTTTCCCTACAGACAAGCAAAATCAGAACTTAATATTTTACACCATGTAAAGTACATTGCTTGAATTTGAAACAAAAAAAAAATTTATTAAGTTACAAATAAGTGTTAAATAAAGAGTAACCTATCACTAGATTACAAAGATATACATGCCCTTTACATGAACAAAGATTTGAATAATATCACTGGTTCACTGCATCTTTTTCANAGAACTAAAGAGAAGTGGTACCACCTGGGCCAAAGCAGAAAGGACAGAGCCCAGAGTCAAGTGAGATGGAGGAGAGTCATTGATGGCCTGTGTTCTACTTGGAGTGAAGGGCCTAAGTTTATCATATTTTTCTGCTTATCAAGTGCTATATAAATTTTTTATATTATATTATTTATTAATAGTATTAAAATTATCATTAATATCATTATTATCCTTTTGCTTCTTTTCATAGCCAATATCATCATCATCATCATCACCATCATTACTACTATTATAATTGTTGCTCTTGTTGTTGTTGTTGTTATTGTTATTTTTATTTATTAAAATGCATATTTGAGTTTTTCTTCCTTGGGATTTATTTTATATTTTGCACATTTTATACATGTGTATCTGCTGGTATAACGAGATCAGACAGGTTTCCTTCGTTGAAATGTCAACCTTTAAGTTGCTCACAACGTGCAAAAATGTGTAGTTCTCTAACCAATCTGTGCCTGGAAAAAGTCTTTCAATCTCTTCAATAATTGGTTTGTAGCAAGCATCCCTTTCAGCTTTTCCCTACAGACAAACAAAATCAGAACTTAATATTTTACACCATGTAAAGTACATTGCTTGAATTTGAAACAAAAACACAATTTAATTAAGTTACAAATAAGTGTTAAATAAAGAGTAACCTATTACTAGATGACAAAGATATACATGCCCTTTACGTGAACGAAGATTTGAATAATATCACTGGCTCACTGCATCTTTTACACCACTTTCTGATTACCAAGTTGCCAATTAAGATGGTGAGTAAACAAAATCAAAACCTTTGCTGATTGGCAATGCTACCTGACTGCATACATATATCAGGAAAACATGTAGTTATAATTCTTATCAGGTGAACAACAGACTGTCTGTTGACTGCAACTACAATAACAAACAATAACAAAATTATATAACAACATTAAATGCAGCTTGCACAGTATTACATATAAATAACAATTCATTATTAAATTAATCTAAAAAAAGTATTATGTGACAATAAGAAAAAATGTACATATACATGATTGTTATGTACCTCATCACTCCAGTCCCTCACAAACTGTTTAAGTGTTGTTGTAACTTTTTCCATGTCAAACCCACTGATTGGTTGGCTTGCTGGATCATTAGGAACCTTGATCAGTGGAAATCACAATTTCTAGATACATAAATCATATTGGTAGTCTAATTACCCAATAATGTATAAGTGTACATACATGGTACAGCTTTATCTCGACTGAAAGGTAAACTAACAAATACTA